TTTTTTTTTCCCTTCTTTTTTTGTACTTTTACAATACATTTAGTTATTGTCATGCAACTCTGGATATCTGCCAAGTGGTGTGGAGTCTAGACTCATTCGTCGTTCCCTCTTTAGTGTATAACAAAGCTTTACGAGAAGGGTTTAATGTCTGCGAACACCATAAGTGCTTTATTCTTCCTATGCACAGGCTAGGCTGTTGGAAAGAGAGACTGTTGTATTCTGTGCCGGCACTTGTCTGTGCAATATCTCTCATGAGTTTTTGTGTTTACCTCATTGCTGCCGTTTCCTTCAGTATCCCTTTACTTCACTCAATGAAGGTGGGGGGGGGGGATGCAAAACCATTGTACTGATTGTTTGTAAGAGGAGCGAATGAATTTGAGTGGTTGTGTACGTCTGTATGCGTGAAAGAGAGTGTGAGTGCGTTTCTTGTATGCAGAGTGATATTTTTTTTTTTTTTTGGGGAGCTTACACAAAATATTGAGGACAAGAGTTTGGTGAAGTGGCACTCGTGGTGATTCCATAATGCACATGACTGCCACTAGAAAACCACAGCAGGCCAAACTAACTGTCTACAACCGCTGGAGTGTGCAGGCTTGTACACAGAAGTGACCTCTTTAACGTTCGTACATGGCCGACCTTTAAACGCCGTCATTCTTTTTAATAATCATGATGAAAAAGCAAAATCTTGAGTATGTTACCAACATTTGCCCCACTGTGCATGTGCAGCAGCAGCAGCAGCATACCAACCAACCAACCAATCACTGCAGAAAACCTTTTTCATGAGAACTCCTAGACTCCAAACTAGACTACAGCTAGGATAGTTCTGCTCATTTTGTACAAATGTCGTCCAATTGTATGAGAACTGAAGACATCAGTGAGTGGGAGGACGCGTCGACGTACAGAATTGTGAAGCTTGTGAATTATCTTTTTTGCACATTAGCTTTAGATGTGTGGGTTGAAAAAAAAAAAAGGGCTTTTCATAATTGGTAGGATTTCATATTGCAGTCTACTAAACCTGACAGTTTAAAACCGGACATAGAAAATGTATGAGGACTCCCAGGGCAACTTGATTTGAATCTGCACTTTACTACAGCGGAGTTTAAGATTTGATATGGCATTAATCAAGTTCATGTCTTAATAACCAGTTTCACAATAAACCCATGTTGCACTTGTCTCCTTGTCTGAATGTCTTTATTTGCGTGTTCTGTCTAATTGGGGGTGGGGGCTTTTTGCCAATGGGAATTTAAGAAAAAGATTTAGGTTTCAGCCATGTTTAGCGGTCTGCATTTTCTTTAATTGGGTCTAATGTCCTATGGCCTAATTAAGATGGAAAGTACCCTTCCCATCAGGAACATTTTATTTCATTAGGAAAAAAGCTGCTTTCAGTCCTTACTGAAATTAATATAAAGGTGCTGAAATCCATCAAATGTATTACCTTGAAGGTTCACATAGAAATAGTTACACATTAACAAGAAGTGTGACCAATATACTGAAAATCAGTCAGTTTGAGTTGTAACCTCACAGCTATTAAGGCAGAAAATGCAATTAATACCTAAATACATTATCTTTTAACCAGTGGGGTGTTCTGCTTCTTTACCTTTCACTAAAACTTAACTCTTTTCATTTCCCTAAGGATTTCCACACTGGGTCTATTCTCCTGCTTCTTTTCCTGCAGCCACTGAGCAATAGACTTGTTCCAGATACTTGAGCTGGGAGCGGGCGTACAGAGGGACCCATCTGGACTGGAATGTGTCCAGAGAAACGTTTGACATTGCTGGAGGGGTTGCTTATGTTGTGCATCCAGTCGCTTCCGAGAACCCTCCCAAATAGAAACTCGCTGATTTGTTCAAGACTTGTTGCTTGAGTAAATCAAAGAACAACAGTAGCCAACTGGGTGCTCTGCAGAGAACTTGTTGTTCCTTGTTGAGAGGTTGACTGATGTTATTTGCCCACTCAGTCAAAGGAACCAACCAAATATGTTTGCTTTTGGCTGTAGTCCAAGAAATGAAACAGCTCCCAGCTTCGTTGCTCAGCACAGGCATTACAATAAGAGCTTTTATCTGGTACAGTAGCTGATATGACAGCGCCTCTAAAGTTCTGTGAAGTGATATTTTTTTATCTTGTGCAAAGAAGTTATGATCATAACTTATATCAGTGACTTTTGTTTTATCTCTCTCCTTATTTCTTGTCTTCTTTTTAGATAATAAAAGCATGAAATATCTATAAATACTGGTCAGAGTATCCATTATTTTTATTGGATCCCTTATATTTTTACACACTTTTTATTAATACACCTGTAATATTACTATTAGACGACCATATACTGTAAAATCCCCTTATTCTTATACTATTACTACAATCATCCCATAATCATTATTTAACAGTATAATCCTAAACCATAATTCATATATTATTGGACGTTAAAGTTGCATCATCATCGAGCTCACTGTGTTCACATCAATCAAACAACTTGATGATGAAGCTTCCTCTATTCAAAGAATAAAGGAGTCAAGTTCTCTCTTGATTTATTACCTAGGGTAATATAAACGTCACAATAGAGATATGTCTTGATCAGTGGTGTAGTGGTGCCTGGGGACATGGATATACTCTTAATTTATAACCAATTTAAACCCCAGCCCAGCAAAGGATGGTTATAAACAACGACTACTCATATGCATATTTAGCTTACCTAAAAATGGACCAGTAGTATTTGCACATCGTCACTTAACTCGTGCTGCTAGACTTCAAGGGAGTAAGGATCATTGTGAAAGTAACATTAGCCACAGAAGAGGATCAGATTTTGCATCAACACTGGCCCACAGACAGATGAGACAACTACATCAATGCATTTTGAGTGAAATATTCCTTACTTTTCTTACTCCACCCACTCATGAGAATTGGACAACTCGTGCCTTTTTCCAGCCTAGAAAAAAAAACAGACCTGCACTGCGCCACTGGTCTTGATCATCAATAAATTCAAATGGAAAGATGAATTAGGGTTTTTTTCCTCTCTCACAGTGAGGATCTCGCCACCTGTTTCCTCCTCATGTACAGCAGCAGCAGTCAGTCCCAGAATGTCACACCTATCCTGAATGTTCTCTGATGAGTCACTGCCAGAAAGAAAGTGCAGAGTGGGAATTTCTTAATGAGTCACGATCACTGTAGGTGTGTGTGTGTGTGTGTACTGGGCAACTGAGGTAGAGCAGAGCAGGTTTGTGTAGGTATTTTTTTTACCATCTGAGTGTGTCATAGCAGAACAAGAGTCCATTTTGTGATCTATGAACAAGGATTTTGGAACCTCTGAGGACTCTTAACAAGTGTCTCCAGCACGCAGCCATTTCCAACCATACTGTGAGTCTTACATAACAGAAACAGGACCGCAATTGTTTTGAGTTCACTGAGAGCTTGGGAATACTGAGAAAAAACAAGTTGTAAAGAGAAAAAGAAAGAAACAAAGGAATCAGCAGGATATTTTTAGATGTGTTTTTGAGTTGACGTGGTTTACTGACAAGTCCAGTGTCATTGGACTCTGTTGCTTTATCATAACCACACCCGGAATTACCTGCTAAAAATAGCACAGATATTATCAGGTGGAAGAGGACACATTATTTTTTTTCCTAGTGTGAGGAGTAACATATCACTGGGAACTTTATCGGTTGGAAAATCAATCTCGCTTCACCCTCATCTCTGTAACTCTCCTTCTTTTCAACCTCAGTTGCGTTAAGTTCAGCTAACCCAGATTTCCTCCAGCGGGAATGTTAAACGTCACTCATTGACGGTAACTGTGAAGTATATAGTGTAGGTGTTTCTGGGTCTCAGAGTCTAGAACAAGTCAAGGCTTGTCACTGCTCAGTGTAGAACATGCGAGTGTTACGGTGGCGCAGCCCCACTTATACTAGCACTGGAGGTTAACTGTGCCATCAGCCCTGTGTCGTACTAGATGTTGACATAATGAGGGAGAGATTCAAAGGGGTGCACAAAGAGGGAGAGAGAGAGAGAGAGAGAGGGATATAGGTGAAATGAGCTCTGTGCCACACGAGGAAGGTGTGTATGTAGGAAGATGGTGATTTTCTAGAAAAATCACTTGTCAGCTCAGCAGGGAGGGGGTGGAGTGAGTCAGAGGGTTGCCCATGAAGTCCCAGGCATGAAGTTGGCGAGAATCTACCTCTCTGAGCTGTCTTTGAGCAAGATATAGACTCTTTATGAGCTTCAAAAAGAGAGTATTTGTGTGTTACTGTGTTATAGGATGGACAGTGGATATTGTAGAGGCAGGAAGTATACACGCTGTGTGTAACATTTAGGAGGCTCTCTTGGCAGAAATATAATAGAAATATCATAATATTCATAGGTCACATCCTTTAAAACACAACTGACACATACATAAGTACATTAAAACAGTAACTGGCCACTTTAACTATTCCTTTTGTTCATACCGGCTGTTAAGAGATCCCCTCTTCTGTGTAAAAATGCATTTTAAAGTTCAACTGGAGATAAATATGAAATCTTTAGTACAGTTATTTTACTACCAAATGTCCTCTTTCCATCACTATCCTTCTGTTGCACCTGCATGTGGAAGCACGAAAAGGACATTTTGTAAGAAGAAAAAAAAAAAGATCACACAGTTAAATGCAACAGATTTTCTTATGCTCTTTATCCATGATTGGTGTTGAGAGAACGTTTAATGCACTTCACCTTCCACACCACAAATAAGAGTGTAATGTAAGTTTTATAACAGTTTATTAATAAGATGTCTGATAGGGCGGGGACAAAGTCACTCATTATATATTCGTCTGTGAATAGACTATATAACCTATAAAACATGAAATATGTATTTATTTAGTGTAGTAATAATGCTTTATGGTAAATTCTTGTGTTTTGTCACCTTCATTATCACCTGCAA